TGAGCAATGACACGGCTACATGCAGGGTCCAAGCGTGCCTAGGCTAGAGAGCATTCCCAAGGCTTCTCCTTATATACGGGAAGCAGACCACATCCCAAAGGCAGCTACTCAGCTGCTTGTGGTAGATCCCACCATGGAGATGATTGCCAGTCTCATCATGGGGAATAACTACCACGAGCTGCCCAGCCACTCAACCAGGCCCAGCCAAGTTGACACACAACATAACCACCACAGAGAGTAAATCACTAATAGGAGGGTAGACACAGTGAACTTGGGTGAAGGGAAGGGCACCCAACAAGGAGAGGCAGCACAATGTGATCAAGACAAAGGGAAACATCGTGGGGAGCCTAGGAGTTAAAGGCAACAGAGAGGAGTTCTGTTACACTCAGTCCTGCAGCAACAGTAGTAACGGTAATCTGAGTGACACATAGACACACAGGCTGAACAGTGTGTGGGGTGAGCGGGTTACACCCATGAGTATACACATATTTGACAGAGGATATTTCTACACATGTGTCATATGAGCTGCAAATATATCCATGAACACAGTAGTGCATATGGGGGAGAGTTATGAAAACATCTTAGCCATAACCAAATACCTTGAAGGAATGAGTTGCTGGGCCCTGGGGCTCAGGACCAGAGTCTCGGGGGACATCAAGGTCGACTGGCTCAACATAGTCCACAAAGACAATGGGCTACAATCCTACTTTGGTGAGTAGTGACTGAGGTCTTAAAAGCTTGTGAGCGGCCATCTATGGTACAACTACTGGTCTCTCCCTGTCCAGAGCAAAGAAGAGTGAAGCTAATCAAAGACACAAGGAAATAATTAGTCCAAAGGATTAATGGACCACGTAAGACCCAGCCTCCATGACCCCAAGACTAGAACTACATGGTACCCAGCCACCGCTGCTGGCCACTCTGAAAGGGATCACAAAAGAAGATTCCTGGATGGAATGGGAGAAAAATGTGGAACAAACTCACAATCATAAAAAGGCCAGGCTTACTCGTTGGCTAGAGACTGGTGGAACCCTTGAGACCATGGCCCTTAGTCACCCTTCAAGCCTGGAACTGAATTTCCCTTCATGGCTCAACTGCCAAGCAAGCAACAGGGCCATGAGGTGAAGAGCATTAGCAGGAGGCAGCACTTACTAGCACAGTAAACCACGTGAGATTGAAAGGGCGCATCTGCCCAGGGATAAAGGAAAGGAGGAGGAATGGAGACAGGGAACCCAGGGAGGAAGTGGGAAGAGTGTTATTACTTTGTGGGGATTGTAATCAATGTCATGAAACAAGATGTGCATAAATTGTTGAATGAAAATCCAATTTGCTCTGTAAACTTTCACTTGAATCACCATAAAAAGTTAAAAAAAAAAAAAAAAAGACAAAAGAAACCATAAAATAAAACAACCCCCCCAAAAAACAACCCTCAAGAGCATGGTTCTCCTGACACACCCGGAATCACCATGAGTTGCAGTCACTGGACGGCCACTGGTTTCTGTGGCCTTAGACATGTTCTTTTTTAAAAGGGGGTGGTGGTGGTGGTGGTGGCTCTGTTCCCAAAGTGGCAGGAGAATGGAAGTCTGGGGGTTCCTGCCCACTCAGTGCTCCCTTACAGAGGACGTGTGACCAGCCCCACGGCGGGAAGAGACAAGCAGACCCGCTCAGTCCAGGGCCTGGGAAGCTGAGAGGTGTGTTCACACCCCATCGGTCTGCAGTCCCACAGCGGACCAGGAGGTGCGAGCTTTATTATTTGCATTTTTCTGATGAGAAAGTGGAGTTTAGAGAAGTAACAACTTGCTCAGGGTTAGTGAGGAAAACTGGATCCAAACTCAGTTCGACTCGAGCACACACTCCATTCCTGACCCTTCCTGTGTCATGGCAGTGGCAGGGCCTTCCCTCTCCTCTGAGGAGACACTGACAGGACGTGGGCGTCTGACTGTGCCCACTGTCCTGACGTGGGCGCCAGGGGTGCCCTCAGAGTCGCAGCTCAGCAGGGCCCTGTGCTCGCTGTGTAGACCAGAGCTGTGGCCTTCCAGTGTGACGTGGTGAGCCCCTCAGGGCCCAGGGCTGCCTCTGGCAGTGGACCTTGCCGGGGCTTCTCTGGTCCACTGACCATGTGGCAGTGAAGCCCTCAGTGCCCTGGGTAAAGCCTGGGCCAGGGCCCTCTCCAATCCATCCTGAGCCCATCAGAGAGGCCACTACCTGACCCGTGTCCAGCCCGCGTCCACACTGGGCAGCCAAGCCCAGCTGTGTCTGGCTCTTGAGTTTCCCCGGGACACTCCTAGCCCGATTCCTACTCCCAGTCAAACCACACTCAGAAAATGTCAGGGGCCACCGTGGGGAGGGGCGGCTGGAAGGCCCAGGGAGGGGAGCCTCCCCTTCCCACATGCTGTAAGACCTCCCCTTCCATCTGGTTTACACACTGGGTCTCCTAGGATTTGGTTTCCCGTCCATCTGTCTGTCTGCCCTACTGTGGTGATATGCACATTGCTGTGAGGCTGGCAGCTATGCCACTGGTGTTTCAGATCCAGCAGGGTCGCCCAGGGCAGGCAGGGGTCCGAGGAGCTTCCACAGAAGACAGGCAGGAAGAAAGCCTTGATGCTGTAGTTCCAAGAATTAGCCAATGAAAACCCTGTGGCTCACACAGTCTACAGTGCTGGAAGGTGGGCCCCGCGGTCAGCAGGCACTGACGACACACAGCGGCTGCACAATGCACACCAGCCACGGTGACCCTGGAGGAGGGCCAAGAGCAGGCGACGTTTCTTCCTGTTACAAGTGGAGTCACCAGGAGCTGAAGCCCTGGTGGCAGCTAGTAATAAAGATTTGGTTTAAAGAGGTTTCGTTGCTTCTTAAAAAGGAAACTTCTTCATAAGCCCTGCCGCAGAGAGGTCCAGAGCGGAGATTCAGGTGGGACTGACTCGGTCCATAGGTGGCCCAGCTCCAGCAATGTTGGAGACCTGATGATAGGGCCATTCCCAGTCTCCTGGGGACTTGTGAACTACCTGGGGGGGAGGAAGCCAGGGCAGGGACCAGCCCTGAGCCCGGGGACACAAGACTGGGTGGCAGGTTGTCTGCTAAAGGCTTGATGGGGCCAGCTCTGCTCACAGAAGCACTGAGCTTGGTCCCAAAGGGCTGTCGGCTCCCAGTTTGGGTCCAGGCCTCCCTTACAGTGCAGGCTCAGCTCTGGGCTGGGTTGGGTGGTGGGCAGCCTGGCTCAGGCAGGTGGCCAGCAGGTCAGTGTCTGAGGGCTATGCCACAGCTCTGGGGCCTGTGTGCTGTGTTGTGTGTGTGTGCATGCAGCCTCCACATGCAGAGGCCAGGGAGGCCGAGAGGGAAGTGGTGGGTGCAAGCCCTGCCCAGCAATCAGAAGAGTCAGTTCTGGGCAATGACCTGGGACCCAGGGGTCAGGAAGGTCAGGAGCCCATGGGGAAGTGGTCCAGGATGTCAGAATCAAGCGTTACTGAGCTACTGAGGCCAGTGTCCTCCCACTAGGCAGTGCCTCTATTCCTCTCTGCCCTGGAGGGAGCTAGGATCAGAGCAGGACCGCAGTGCAGAGCCCTGAGACGCTGGTGAGTGAGGGAGTGTGTGTGAGTGTGTGTGTGTTTGTGCATGTGTGCATGCATGTGTATGAGCATGCAAGTGTGTGAAAGGATATGTGAGTTTGCATATATGCACATGAGTGTACGTGTGCATATGTGTGCATGAGTGTGGCATGTTTGTGCATACATTTGTGCAAGTGCATGCATGTATGTGCTTGTGTGCTGGAGTGTGTTCTGCTGAGTGCATTGTGTGTGCATATGTGCACACATGCATGTGTGTTGGGGAGAGGGCAGTGTTGCAGAGCAGATGTAATTTTGATTAGGAGGTCAGAGTTCTTGACCCACAGGACATGCTGGGTAGCTGTTAAAAAGCCATAGCATCCAAAACCTGCTTTTGACTCCATGAGAGAGCCCCTTGCCCCTTGGCTTCCAGCTCCCTGCATCTTCTCTTGTAAATAGCAAATCGTAGCTAACTATATGTTTGTGGGCATTGTGCCCTGGCTGTAATCATCAGGAGCACCTACTACAAGGGGTTCAGAGAACTTGAAACCAAAGCCACACCAGTGCTTTTGATTCCAATGCATGCGGCCCCATGTGTGGGAGCAGAACTGCCCCAGGAGGGGTCTTCAAGTCTGTGACCTTTCAGAAGCAAATCCCAGGCCTGTCTTCCAAGATGCCTCTCGGTGGGTGGCTTAGCAGTCAGTGCTTGACGGTCAGTCCTGGAGAACTTCAGAGGCAGATACAACACCAGCAGTGGGAGTCGCAAGGCAGACCAAACACAACAACAAACCAACCTGAGATACAGGTGCAGCAGCAGAGGGCAATAGTGGTTGGTGTTCACAAGATCAAGATCACCTCCATGGGAGCTCCTTATCCAGAACTCAATTCTCTGGACACAGGTTCATTAATTCAGCAGACTTTGGTGCAGACTGCCCAGGGCTTCAGAGTACTAGCTCTGGAGCCACACACTCCTGGGTTCAAGTCCTGGCTCCATGGCCTACTTGCTGTGGAACCTTTGTGAACTTTCTTAACTTCTCTGAACTTCAGTTTCCTCCTCCATAGTAAAGATGAAGAGTAACAGGTACTTCACAGAGGATTCAATGACATAGTGCACGCAAAGGGTCTTCGCCGTGCCCAGCATATGGTCAATGCTCCAAAGCCTTGCACTACAGACAACTCATGCTGAGCCTGTACTGAGCTGAGTGCCAGGGTCTTTCTGTACAAACTGCTGCCCTGATCCTCATTAAACTTCTGCCTGTCAGTTTGAGTCCACTATCTCATCCAGTCCAGCTTATTCTGTTGCCATGTTATCAGCCAGCCTATCTAGTTAGTCTGCAAATCTGTAACCTGCCTTCTCTATTTTCATCCAAGCCCTTCCTCCAGTCCAATGTCAGTACCATGCCTGTGAGGTGAACTGTATGGGTCAACTTGGCCAGACTATGGGGCCCAGTTGTCTGGTCAAACCCTAGTCTAGATGCTGCTGTGAAGATATTTAGATGTGATTAACATTTATGGCTAAATAGGTTATGAACAGCTAAGGAAGACAAACTTGTCTGTCAGTGTGTTGTACTGCGGTGACCTGAGTGCTGCTGTGAGGCTGGAGGCCATGCCACTGGTATTTCAATTATCAGCAGGTCACCCACGGTGGACAGGTCTCAGTGGGGCTGCCAGACTAAGACAGACTGGGAAGAAGGAAGAAGCCATCCACTTCTCAAAGAATTGGCCATTGGAAACCTTATGAATAGCAGTGAAACACTCTCTGATATATGACTAGAAAACTTGATGAATTGCCCTGAAATACTGTCCTATATTGTGCTGGAAGATGAGCCCCTCAGGTTGGAAGGTATTCCAAATACGACTGGAGGCTCTGAGTAGAGCTGACCTTAATGATGTGGATGGAGTAAAGCTTTTGGGACCCCCATTTGCTGATGCGGCATGTTTCAAGATGAGAGGAACCAGCTGCAAACATTCATTAATAATCAGAACATGGAATATACCAAGTATGAATCTAGGAAAATTGCAAGTTGTCAAAAATTAAATGGAACACATAAAGATCAATATCCTAGGCATTAGCGAGCTGAAATGGACTGGTTTTGGCCATTGTGAATCAGACAACCATATGATCTACTATGCTGGGAATGACAAATTGAGGAGGAATGGCGTGGCATTCATCATCACAAAGAATGTTTGAAAATCCACCCTGAAGCACAATGCTGTCATTGACAGAATAATATCCATATGCCTATCAGGAAGCTCAGTTAATACGACTATTACTCAAATTTATACACCAACCACCAAAGCCAAAGATGAGGAAACTGAAGATTTTTACCAACTTCTGCAGTCTGAAATTGACTGAACATGCAATCAAGATGTGTTAATTATCACTGGTGACTGGAATGCAAAAGTTGGAAACAAAGAATCACCAGTAGTTGGAATTTATGGCCTTGGTGACAGAAATAACACTGGAGATGGCATGATAGAATTTTGCAAGACCAACTACTTACTCATTGCAAATACCTTTTTTCAACAATACAAATGGGGGTTATACACGTGCACTTCACAAGACAGAGTACACAGGAAATCAGGTTGACTACATCTGTGGCAAGAGGCAATGGAGAAGCTCAATATCTTTAGCCTAAACAAGGCCAGGAGCTGATTGTGGAACAGACCATCAACTGCTCCTATGCAGGTTCAAGTTGAAGCTGAACACAATTACAACAAGTCCACAAGAGCCAAAATATGATCTGGAATATATCCCTCCTGAATTTAGAGACCATCTAAAGAATATATTTGATGCATTGAACACCAATGACCCAAAACCAGAGGAATTGTAGGATGACATCAAAAACATCATGCATGAAGAAGCAAAATGTCATTAAAAAGACAGGAAAGGAAGAAAAAACCAAAATGGATGTCAGAAGACACTCTGAAACTTGCCCTTGAATGGTGAGTAGCTAAAGCAAATGGAAGAATTGACAGGATAAAAGAACTGAACAGGAGATTTCAAAGAGCAGCTTGAGAAGACAAAGTCAATTATTATAATGAAATGTGCAAAGACCTGGAGTTAGAAAATCAAAAGGGAAGAACACACTCGGCATTTCTCAAGCTGAAAAACTGAAGAAAAAATTAAGCCTTGAACTGCAATACTGAAAGATTCCATGGGCAGTATGTTGAATGATACAGGAAAACATCAAAAGATGGATGGAATACAGTCACTGTACCAAAAAGAATCGGTCACTGTTCATCTATTTCAGGAGGTGGTATATGTTTAAGAACCAGTGGTACTGAAGGAAGAAGCTGAAGCTGCACTGAAGGAATTGGTGACAACAAGGGTCCAGGAATTGATGGAATAACCACTGAGATGTTTCAACAAACAGATGTTGCATTGGAGTCACTCACTCGGCTATGCCAAGAGATTTGGAAGATAGCTACCTGGCCAACTGACTGGAAGAGATCCATATTTGTACCCATTCCAAAGAAAGGTAATCCCACAGAACGTGGAAATTATTAAACAATATCACTGATATCACACACAAGTAAAATCTTACTGAAAATAATTAAAAAATGGTTGTAGCATGGGCATACGGGTGGATAGACAGGTGTACAGGCTGAACTGTTAGGTATGTCTGTGCAGTGGGAAGTGTACCCAAGACCATGTATAGGGTTGGCAGACAATGGTTCTACAAGTATATTTGTATGTTCTGTGAGAATTCCCAGGTGTATAGTACAGCTGACAATGGACAAAGTTGTAGTCACTTCTTGGTTACAGCCAGCTACCCAGAAGGAGTGAGTAGTTGAACCTGTGGGCTTGGGACCATAGTCGCAGGGGACATCAAGCTCAACTGGCATAACATACTACACAGAACATTGTTCTACCTCCTACTTTGGCGAGTAGTGACTGGGATCTTAAGTTTGCAAGCTGCCATCTAGATGAAACGAAGGGTCTCTCCTCATCCAGAGCAAAGAAGAATGAAGAAAACTAAAGATTCGTGGAAACAATTAGTCCTAGCGACTGGTACACCATGCAATCTGCAGCCTATATGACGATGAGACCAGAACTAGATTGTGCCCGGCCACCACTGTCAACCACTTGGAGGGGGATCTATGTAGGAGATCCTGGATTGGATAGAGAGGGAGAACAATGTGGAACAAAACTCAAAATCATTTGGAAAAAAAGGGGGGGGGGACCAGGTTTGCTGGTCTGATAGAGCCTGATGGAACCACTGAGACTATGGCCCCTACCTGCCCTTCAGGTCTGGAATTGAACCCACACCTGTGGCTTCCAGCCAAACAAAAGACAGGCATAGGAGTTGAACATTTACCTGAGGTAGATACACTCCTCGGAGAGAACATTCATGGAAGAAAGAAGGGCTGTTTATGCACAGGGCGCAGCTCGGGGCAGGAGTGCATGGAGGGATGGACACAGGGAAGAGGTAACTATGAGGATGAAGTGGGAGGGGAGCTGTTGCATTGGGGTAAATTGTAGTCAGTGTCATGAGACAAAGTGTATGTGAACTGCTGTATGGAAAGTGAATTTGCTCTGTAAACTTGCACCCAAATCATAATTTAAAAAAATAATAATAATAAA